GAACATGCTTTTCAAGCGGTCCATCCGTCCACTGTGCGAAGACCTGGGCTTCGCAGGGGGCATATATATATATATATATGTATGTATGTATATATTGTGGGAATATCCATCATAGGTTTTAGCCCGGCTACCCTGTCTTTCCTCGTAGTCGGCGTACCCGGGCGAGGCCTTTCTTCAACAAGCTGGCGATGATTTTCCGATCCAGCTCTGGAAGCTTCTGTGAAGCCGCCTTGTCTACCTCATTTTGATCAGCGGGGCTTCGTTCCCACTGAGCTTGTGATATAAATGAAGTCAAGCCACAGCTTGCTCAAAAGTGCTCGGAGCCGGGACCTGATTCAATCTGACATATCCTCGGAAGGCAAATTCAAGAGCATCGCTTCTCGACCAGGGAACCAGACGAAACCAACACTATCAACTGCCAAGAAACGAAGAGACTCCAACACAGTGCTGAGCACAACGAATCCTTCGTTCTCCACCCAGTCGGTGGCTAAAGAAGTCTTCGGGTGGGAGAATCGAAATGCATTCGGCCAGATTTGCGTCACACCTCGCTGTATTTACAACGGGGCACTGTTTGAGATCATTGGCTCGACCTCTGGCTGTAGCACGATATGTTCTGAGCTCAGAGCTTGTCAATTGACTTAGGATGGGCTTGAGGCCCAATTGCATAGTCATCATGACCTATAGTCCGAGCACATCGTATGCTGTGCTCAAAAATCTGCTGCACCTGAATTTGCAAGCGAGCGACATCTTCCTCAGGGGACAAAGACCCGGGAACGGAATCACCCTCCTGCTCCAGGGCAAAACATGATTTACTCGAAAGTCTAACCCGTCCCAGGAGTCCTCCTCAGCCATATGGCTGCCGACTTCTCTACAGAACACGTGCGAAAAGAATCTGTGTCTGTGCAAGCGACCCGATCTAAAACCTCTGTGGCTGTGTGCCAGCCACCCTGGGCCAAACACACACGTGTCTGCTGTAACATATTGCAGGTTTATGAAAATCTGGGACTTCTTCACATGCTCCGGTCCGTCTGAGCCATGTTTGACTGCAATCGGTGGTGATCAATCACGTACAGCCTGCAGCTGGTGCACACAGACTCACTCTGACACAGCGGGGCAGCAGGGGCACTTGGACTTGGAAAGACCCGCTTCAGCAACTGGTTCATCCGCCATGCCAGCACATAAAGTCATTATTTGTGCCCCGGTACCGAAATTAATTGGTGTATCCCTGCACACTTACAAAGATGTCGATGAGTACTCCAGCATCGAGCGAAGAACCCATCTAAGAAATGGACTGTCGTGGATTGTATGCCCACAGCTGAGCCGGGATCGGCACAAAAGCAGCACTGAAAACTTGCATCGACTGAATGCCTGCTTATATGAATGAACGGTGTGATGTTTATATGGTTATCGTGAACAGAGGGGGACCCCTATTGGAGCACCGACTGTCCACATGTATGAGGTTTAGGGAATGGACAGGGGGTATCCCTATTGGGGCACCACTTGTCCATTAATAAGGCGTGGTCGGGTTTTTTTTCTCAGCGAGTTTGAGCCAATCTACTTATTTTTTCTCCGCGAGTTTGAGCCGATCTAGAATTCCTACAGCTGTATGTGCTTGGAATTAATATACACACATCCTTCTCTGAATGTTTTTGCATTCACTGGCTGTATGTGTGGAAGCACTCTGTACAGTTATTCCAAATTCGGGTTTACGGCATCTCAGATCCATAAAGGAGACCTTGACAACAACCTCATGGCCTCAAAAAAGCGACATTCGCCTTTTTTCCGGGGGCACCACCAGAAAAAGGCTCTTTACTCCAAATGGGTGCCAGTAGCTTTTT